ACAGTAATGTGAACCCATGTACATGAAAACACAAATGAATAGACATTGCCTACACTTATACATAGAGAAAAAATTTAATACTATTTGTGCTGAGTTTTAACATGTAGGATGTGCAGAAGTGCTAGAAGACCCCCAAGAATGCCCCTACTTCTAAACATGGGGGAAATAAATATGATGAAATAACTGATTATTCAAGATCACTATGGTCATCGAAACCTGTAGACCATGGGTGTTATTCTGTTGTTCAGAACACCATCTCTGGAATGATTCATTTACAATATGAAAAATACACTTTTCTTTTTTTTAGTCATTTTACATACCAACCACAGTTCCCACTCCCACCCCTCATCCCTCTTCCCCATGACCCCATCATCCACTTCTCAGAAAGGATCTGTCTGACATATCAAGTTGAGGCTTGATCCTCCCCACTGCATCAAGGCTGAGCAAGGCACCCATCACAAGAAATTGGAAGAAAAACAAAAAAACAGTTCATGCACGAGGGATAGATCCTGGTCCCACTGCAAAGGGCCCCACAAAAAACCAAACCATGCAATTGTCACCGGCCTGCAGAGGGCCCAGTTTTGTGCCATGCAGGCTACCCATCCAGGTCCCAGGAGCTCAGATCAGCCGTCTCCGTGGGTTACTTCCTCATGACTTTGACCCACCTTGCTCATGAATCCCTCCTCCCTCTTCAACTGAACTCCTGGAGTTCCACCTGGTTCGTGGCTGTGGATCTCTGCATCTGCTTCCATCAGTTACAGGATGGAGGATCTATGATGACAACTAGGGTAGTTACCTATGTGATTAGAGGAGACGGCTGCTTCAGGCACCCTCTCCAATATTGCTAGGAGTCTTCTTTGGTGTCATCCTCATGGATTTCTGGGAATTTCCCTAGCACCAGGTTTCTCCCTAAACCCATAATGGCTCCTTCTATCACGGATGAGTTGGGGGAGGAACTGAGAGGGAGAGCAATGAAAAACACACATTTCTTTGAATGAATTCTGAATATAGATTGCTTTAATAGTTCACATTTCTATGGAACCTTTGATATGCTAATGTCTCACAAATATGGGAAGAGTAAAAATTGAAGCAAAATGTATCAAGACAAAATTGATAGTAGTAGTGTATTTAAGGGAAACCACTGTTCTTGTCATGTGAAGCCCCTGCAAGAATTTGCTTTCCTCCTTGACTCTCCTTATTTCTATCTCTCTTTCCTCCCTGTGTCACTGCCTAGCTATCTCATTGTCACAATTCATTTGTTACATATAAATTGTTTTACTGAATTTATATTATGTACAAGATTGTCTCCTGGATGCTGACAATACAGCGATGAAATATGTGTGTGTTCGTTCTGGAAGCTCTTATTTCTACTTTGACGCGTAGAATATGCTGTTATAAAATACACACGATAATAAACCAGTTACTGTTGTGAAGCACATGATGAGCTGTCATCCCCTGTAGTAACTGGGGAGGTGGGAGAAGAAACTCTGCTTGGATAAAATAGAGTTTGTACCGCACAGCAGCATGATCCACTTAACAACAGCACTTGCAGTTACCCACACTGCTCGCTAACATGCTGTTCCTTGTCAATACTGATATTTTATCTATGTTTATAGAAAAAAATGACATCATCATTTCAAAGCCTTTATCATATTGTACCATGACAGTTCCATGATTCAACAAATCTATTGCGCTGTCTTCAGAATTTCTTAAAACAGCACTCTAATGAGCAATGTCAGGGAGGTGTGGGGACTTCATAGTAACCTGAACAAAAGTGTGTTTGTGGTGAAAAATCTAATGACAGGGCAGCAGGAGAATTGGGAGAGTGAAGCCCTCATAATGGAGACACTGTATAGTATCAGTGATACTGTCAGGAGATACTATCACAAGAAAGCAAATGATGACTTTCCTGAGATGGCTGTCAGTAGTTCTACAATTAAAAACAAAAATTAAATAGGCAGGGATGGAAGATATTTTAGTGTATATGCTGTATATATTATAAATACTCATATGTAAACATGCTCATTGGGATTAAATAGTACTTAGAAGTGCAGGCAAGAGGATATGAGAAAACGAGGAAAACTATCATTTTAATTAGCAGATGGCATGTGTTGGTAATTAACTATTAATTTAAAAAATGATTGGTATTTGTGTTTGAAGATTTGAAACACTTGGAATATAAAAATAGATTCCTTTGTAGAATCGAAGAAGTTGGAAGACGAGGAAAGTCAAGAGTAACAAACATGATTTCCCATGGAAAAACTGATAGTGATAAGACAGAGTTTGTTGTCTAATTTTAGGATATAGAACTTTTAGTCTGAGCCAAAAAGGGAAGCTTATAGATGTTTAAGGAAATCATAAGATATTTTTGGTCAAGAGAGATGTTTACAAACATTTAAAGTCCTTAAGCCAGCGTGGTTTGAACTCCTGTAAGCCCAGCACTTGGAAGCCTGATGCATAAGAATCATGAATGCAAGCACTGTCTAGATAGGCTATAAAGTAAGTTTCAGAGCAGCAGTGTGACATAAAATAGTGAGAACCCTTCCCCAAACCAAAGCAAACAAAACATTTTACAGAATAAAAAAGATTCTAAAATGTTTTTTAATGTTTGTTGCTTAGTAACAAACATTAAAATTACTTGAAGTAATTCATAAAAGACCTATTTTTAAGCTGACAATATAAAAAACTGAATTCTGTTTTACTAACTTTAGTTATGCAAATTAAAAAATTAAATATTTTAAGTCAATGAATAACAAATGCGCAAAGGTATTTTTATACTATTCAACATAGTAAAATTTTAGGAAATTTTAGGTAGTCAAGCATTTAGTTATAATGGTCTAATGTTTTAAGATATTTAAATATTCACCATATTAAATCAAGATACAAATGTTTGCCTTGACTCTGTTCTCCTTGACATTCTTCTCTGTTTCTATCATAAGATGAGTGCCCTCAAGTCTGATACAAAAAAGTCAAACAATTAGTTTCAAACTTTAGAAATTAATTTACAGATTGGTTATACTTAGCCCACATTTGTGGCTTTTGGGAGCTTTGTGGAGTAAATATTTAAAGCAACAGCAATCCATTACACAGTCTTTTAAATTATGTTTTTTTTATGTAATTCACAGAGTAATTGAAATTCAGATACATACTAGGATTAATATAGCTTATATTTATTTTGATATGTATTCAAAAATATGATAATAGAGTAAATTTTAGTTAGGAAATACTACAGCATAAGAAAGAATTTTGTGAAATATACATCATAATGTCACTTGTATTTCTTCTGGCGTCCTGCCGAAGAGCAGTAATTGAATGGGATTTTGTCCATCATCCTGTGAGGCTAGTGGGCGTGGGAGCTGGGTAAAGAGCCCACTGCTCACTTGCAGATACTACAACTCCTTAGACCCCCTAAAGTATCATGTCAAATTGTCAGTGTTTTCATTTCTGGTCAGTCATTGATTTTATTATCCTGAAACACAGTGCTTCTCCTTGGGTAAGTTTTGACATTAAATATTTTCTCCTTAGGATTATTATGGGAGTTGAACACAATTGTAAAACCTCTAATTGTGCTTGACACATGGTAAAGACATCATATGTGTTAAATGTCAAGATCATTTTTGTTATTCTATTTCATTTACTCTCAGAAAAGGCAAACAAATATTATAGTTCCAACTGTTTTGTTGAGATACATTGCTTAGAATTGCATAATTTTTTTTGTGGTTTGCTTAAAAAAGAAAATTCTTGTAATAAATTATTAATAGTATCTCCTAAACTAATTATTTGAGTAAATCATTTAAGAATTACGTTTTTATAAATGTTTTTATTTTCAGATGAATTTTGTGAGATCAACTCCTATAATGTATATATTTACTTCAGGAAGATGATGATCACTGTTTATATTATCTGACTTGTGAGATTCTGTAATGTATATCATATAACTATTTTTTCATAACTTGGAGTAAATGGAGAAATTAAAATAAAAATGTATGTGTGAGACATTTAAATGCCAAAATAAATTTGGTATCTCATTAATATCTCTAAATTAATGTCTCTAAATGTAGTAAAAATCTACATAGCAGCATTAGTTGAAAAATAACTTGAACTTGTTTGTTTTGCTACCCTGAAACAGGAATAAAGTAAGGTTCGTAATCTCTAATGGGAAAATAAATCTTCCAGTTAACCTAAAATCTGCAACACCTTCAAAAGAATTGCAGCATTAATCAGAATCATGTTTCCATCCATCCGTATCTCTAACATTGAGCATAGATCATGTTTGTGGACACTTTGCTGCATAGACACATTTAATTTCATTCAAGTACAAACGCATTATTAAGGCAAATATGCTCACGTGATATGGGAGAATATAATGATTATCTGAATGTGCCATTAGTCAGCTGCTCTATTAAATTATCACCAGAGAGAAAATAGACCACAAATCTTAGCCCCATTTCTTAAACTTCTAATTTTATATCTGGAGTTCGTCTTTTTCCTACTAGTCCTCCATGCTCTGTTGTTGTCACATGCTCATATGAGTAAAATGAAATAATTTAAAAACTGAATTAAGTGTTTCTACCTCATTGGTATTATTTTGATTGGCAATTTTCTATATGACTGATAATGACTTAAGTGTTAGAAGAGAGTTGTGTTTATATGTGATGACCACATGTGCATGAATTTGCTTGTTCTGTTTAAAGCAAAGACTGATGGCCCAGTTAATGGCTAATAAGACAAAACATTGAGCAGAGTTTTCTTTTATAAATGTAATATTTTTCTTATTGTGAAAATGTATATAGTCTTTATTTTAGAATGTACAATGAAAGTTGTATGATTATTTTAAGTGACAGCATCTTCCCCTTATTTCTGTGGCTCCTATATTTTATGTCACCTGCATTGTCAAATTCCTTCAACCAACACAAATTGTTTCCTTATGATGTTCTGTGACTGAATATATCTTACAAGTTTATACTAACCTTGAAAAATTTTCTTTTTCCCATTTCAAGTTCCACCCAATCTGACTGTTCCACAGGAAAAATCACCTTTGGTCACCAGAGAAGGAGACACAATAGAACTTCAATGTCAAGTAACTGGGAAACCTAAACCAATCATCCTTTGGTCTAGAGCGGATAAAGAAGTCGCAATGCCTGATGGGACAATGCAAATGGAGAGTTACGATGGGACACTGAGGATTGTGAATGTGTCAAGGGAAATGTCAGGGATGTACAAGTGTCAAACCAGCCAATACAACGGATTCAACGTGAAGCCAAGAGAAGCCTTGGTCCAGCTCATCGTACAGTGTGAGTAAATTCCCTTCCCTTTGGTTTCTCTGGGGGAGTAAAGGAGGAGATGACAGCACCTTGGTTTGAATGAAAGAGCTGATTCTTGGCATTGGATAAGTATTAAATGAAAAAAATCAATTACTGTCCAACTTATATGATAATTGTCATTTATCGGGATATTATTTAGCTTTTAGAAAACAGGTCTCTTATATACACATTACGCTCATAATGATGTTTAAGACTAGAGAATCAACAACTCTAATGACTTAAAGGCAACTGAGTACAAACAGCGCAAGATGGAGATGAAAGTGACTGTTAATTAGGTTACTAAGCTCTTTAATTTTCATTTTTCTTTTTTTCAATAATTGCATTCATCTATTTAAAGAATCCTTTTGCCTAAATGTGAATGTCTGATCTTTGAAATGGTCCTTTTGCATGTATGAAGTTGTTACAATAGGTAGCACAATTATCTAGTAATGGAGTGAGTGAGGATCTTAGGTGCTGAATTTTGCGAATTACCTAACGGACAAGTGTTTAATTATGAGCTAAATATGATAATTCTTGAACTGCTTCTATTGAAATTGTGGCTGTGCTTCTTACAAGAACTGTAGACACTATGGGGTTAATATTTGCTCTTAAAATAATTAAATCAATAAATTTAAGAGTTAATAAAAACTGAGCAATATCACTGGCACTGCTTACTTCGAGAAAATGCCTAAAATCAGCACAAGAATGTAAAATTTGATCTTATCATAGCAGATAATGAGAACGATTGTACTGTGGTTTCTATGGTGAGCGGACTGTGATTCAAAAAGATACCAATAGACACCAGGGAAATTCAGCTCTGCTGGTGTAAGTAGAAAGGTACAAGATGCAATGAGAGAGCAGAGTATGGCTGTAAGGACTTCACTCAGAGTCCTGTGTCCATGCCCTGTCAACTCTGAATGCCAAACACCAGCAACCTTTCCAGGTCTGGGCAGGGGTGCGCTGTGTTTCAGGAGTCTCTTTACATAGATTTCGACTCTTTCTGAAGAATCTGATTATGTGTTTGAGAATTTGCCAACTACAAGCAGCTGGCAACTTTCAAAATACTCCCCGGAGAATCAGTTCATGTTCAGGCAACATCATCCCTGTCTGCGGACACATACTCCATGACTACATAAGGCTTGCTTGGACAAAACTAAAATAGCAAACATTGTAAATTTTTCATTATAAAATTATAGTTTTGCCTAATTTTGATAATTGTGGGTGGTAATATAGACATGTATGTGGGTGGTATATAGACATGTGCTCACATGTTCACACAACTAGCCAGACACGTGTGAGCATGCATGTGTAAACCTGAGGTTGACTTTGGGTATCTTCTTCAGTTACTCTCCAGCTTAATTTTTAGACGGAATATCATTGGACATGAAGGTCACAAATTACATGAATGGCTGCCTAGGGGTCAGCCTGTCTCTGATAACCTGGCACTGGGGTCACAGATGAACACCCGACATTTACATGGGTGCTGAGGATCCAGTCTCAAATCCTCAGACGTGTGCCAGAACACACGCTTCCCTCCTCCTTAGCCCGCAAGCTCTTTACACATGTGTATTCCAAGCATGCTGTATTTATGCTATGGCTAATTACTAAAGCTGCTAAATATACGTGAATGCCAGTTGACAAGTATATAAATATATGTTTAAATTTGAAGACAAATATAAATATAGATACATACATGCTTCCTACTTCTGGTGAAAGTGATGTGTCAGGAGCATCTGAGGACATGATGGCTAGTGTTTTGCTACATAGATCATGCTGGCATTGAACTCAGGGAGATCTACTGCCTCTCGAGTTCTAAGACATAGAAATTTAATTAATGTTCTCAGTACTTTCTAACTTGTCATACCAAGTAATGACTTAAATATGATGTTTCCATCAGCCTTCTTTAAGTCATCTTTCTTCCTCTCCCCGTCCCTCTCTTGCTGATCTCTTTCCTCCCCCCAATACCTTCTTTCTGCACTTGTGCCGATGCACTCTGTTATATTCTTTTTAAGTTTTTTGTTCCTCCATTGCTCCCTTAAGGTTTCTCCTCCTCTCACCATCTTCTTCTAATTCATGACCTACAAACGCACATCAAATCTAGGATATGCACATGAGAGAAAATTTGCATTATTTGGTTGGTATTTTTTTGTTTTGAGTCTGGATTATTTTGCTTAATACAATGTTTTCGTAAAATATTTCCTCTAGATGTCATAATTTTATTTTTCCAATAAAATGTCATTATATATATATATATATATATATATATATCACACTTCTTACTCATTCATTATTGATAATCTAGGCTAATTCTATTTCTTAAATAACAAATAGTCTTTCAATAAAGTGTAAGTGTAAAGTTTTTTCTTTCTTTTTTTATGTGTTACACTGAAATTGAGACATTTGGGTATACTTTCAGGAGGCAGCATAAGTGGGTCATTTGGTAGTTTTATTTTCAGATTGAGAAATCTTCATGCTAATTTCTATGATAGCTGCATTAGATTATGTTTCCTCAATCTTCTTTAGCTTTTGTTATCATTTCTTTGTTTTCTTTGTTTTGTTTTTGATTTTTTAAAAGTTTTTGGGTTTTTGGTTGTTTTTGTTTTTTTTCCAAGACCAAGTCTTATACTGTAGCCTGGCTATCCTGGGACTCACTATGTAGACCAGGCTGGCCTCAAACTCACAGTGCTCCTCCTACCTCTGACTCTTGAACGCTGGTATTAAATGTGTACACCACTATGTCCAGCCTCATTTTTATTTTTATTGATAACCATTCTGACCAAGTAAAATGGGATCCTAGAATAGTTTTAAATTACATTTTTTTCTGAAAGCTAGTGATGTTAAACAGTTTATAAATGCTTACTGGCCAATTTATTTTTTCTTCTGAGAGCTTCAGTTGAAAAACCCATGTATTGATGGGAAGATTTGAAGTTTGGGTGTTTGGTTCTTTCATTTTTTTTTATGTGCTGTAGTTATTACCCCTATGCAAAGACCGGCTTCCTTTCATTCAGTAGAGTGTCTCTAATCATTGCTGATTGTTTACTGTGGAGAAACTTGTACTTTTCACATAACATTTGTCAGTTTTAGGGATTATTTCCTTTGCTATTGTAGTCCTTTATATATATAAAAAAGCTCTTGCTAAGCCGATATCTTAAAATTATTCTCCTATATTTTCCCATAGTATTTTTAGTGTTTCAGGTTTTAAATTAAGATCTTTGATGCAGTTGGACAGACTTTTGTACAGTGCAAGAAACATACACCTTGTTTAACTTTGCTTGTTGATATGCTGTGTCCTCACTGTCACATCACCTCTAATTGCAGAAAATGTCCTTTTTCCGTTGTAACTTTTTGACATTTTCATCAAAATTTAACAAGTGGTAGCTGAGTGGATTTATTTTGGCGCTCTTTTCTGTTTTATTTGCTTACATTTTCTTTTTTTCTGCTCTCTTTGTCACTAAGATCGTGTAGTGTACTTTGAGATCAAGTATTGAAATTCATCCATCATTGATTTTTTTGTTTACATTCCACTCCTTTGGTTATTTTATAGGATATTGTCTTTCCATGCAAGCTTTAGGATTATGTTTTCTAATTTTGTGAAGAAGGTCACTGCCACTTTGATTAGAATTGTTTTGAAATTGAAGATAACTTTCAGTAAATAGCTGTCCCTACAATATTAAACCTGCCAACCTGACGTCACTGCAGATCCTTGAATATTCTTGTGCTCTCCTCTGCTTCCTTTTCCACACCTTAGTGTTTTCCTAGAGGGGCCTTTCATTTTCTTAGTTGGACAGGTGTGAGCTTGTGACATAATCATGATGTTTATCATTCTTTGTGGTGATTATATATTAGTTAGGTTAATACGTTCTCTTTTTTATTTTTTTTCCTGTTTACCCACTCTATGTCATTATATGTGTTTTCCTGGTGAGTTGTCTTTTATTTCATGAATATTCCCTGCTTCCATTTAGGAGAAAGTCCTACTGTAGTAGCAAGTATCATTGGTGTTAACTTGCACTAGAAAACATATGTGTATTTTCTTTGTCTCCCCAGTAAGATTCAGAGATAACACAACAAGAGTTCAAATTTGAAAAATTGTTTTATATTCTTTAGAGTTAAGGGTATTAATAATTAAGGGGTAAAATGAAGATGGTATTGGAAAAAGAGAAAGCTGGGAGTAATTCATGAACAGGAGGGGATGTATGTATGGTAGAGGCATAAAAATGGTACTTGAAACTACTGTAAGAAAAAGGATGAGAATAAAAGTCTAAAATGATGAGTTATAAGCTGAAACGAAACTAAACAATTGAAGTACAACGATATAAACAAAAATAAAAATAAGGAAAAATAAATTGAAAGATATTATAACCTCAGTCACTTCCTTCTTGAGATGACTGAATTGCCTCTTTCTTGTCTGCACCTGCCAAGGAAGACTTTTAAATTCAATAATGGAAGGAAGTTTTAACATGCCTCCCAGACCCCTCTTTAGACACCTTGTCTCAAGTCTCACATTCTATTTTCAGTACCCTGCTAACTAGTTAAGACTTCTTGTGATGAAGGCTCTGAAGGGATGTGAAAGGACCCCTACCTGTGTTTACTGTGTAGTTAGACTATCTTTTCCCAGACCCTCCTGTGAAGCTGTTCAGCATACTAATACCATCCCCTATTGTTACTTGCCCAGGTAATATCAGGGTTCTTTCTGTCAACTCAGTCTTGGATGTGTGTGGTGGTTTGAAAGAAAATGCCCCCAAAAGGATTGGCACTATTGGGACGTGTGACCTTGATGGGGTAGGTATGGTCTCATTGGAGGGAATATGTGACTGTGGAGGCAGGTTTTGAGGTCTCATATATGGTCAAGCCATGTCCAATGAGTCAGTTCACTTGCTGTTGCCTGCTGATCAAGATGCAGAATCCTCAGCTCCTTCTCCAGCACCATGTCTGCTTGCATGCTACCGTGTCTCTCCATGAAGATAACGGACTAGACCTCTGAAATTAAGCCA